AGTTCTAGTTCAGTTCTAGTTCAGTTCTAGTTCTGTTAGTCTAGTTCTCAGTTCTAGTTCAGTTCTAGTCTCAGTTCAGTTCTAGTTCAGTTCTAGTTCAGTTCTAGTTCAGTTCTAGTTCAGTTCTAGTTCAGTTTAGTTCTAGTTCAGTTCTAGTCAGTTCTAGTTCAGTTCTAGTTCAGTTCTAGTTCTAGTTCAGTTCTAGTTCAGTTCTAGTTCAGTTCTAGTTCAGTTCTAGTTCAGTTCTAGTTCAGTTCTAGTTCAATTCTAGTTCATTCTAGTTCAGTTCTAGTTCAGTTCTAGTTCAGTTCTAGTTCAGTTCTAGTTCAGTTCTAGTTTAGTTCTAGTTCAGTTCTAGTTCAGTTCTAGCTCAGTTCTAGTTCAGTTCTAGTTCAGTTCTAGTTCAGTTCTAGTTCAGTTCTAGTTCAGTTCTAGTTCAGTTCTAGTTCAGTTCTAGTTCAGTTCTAGTTCAGTTCTAGTTCAGTTCTAGTTCAGTTCTAGTTCAGTTCTAGTTCAGTTCTAGTTCAGTTCTAGTTCAGTTCTAGTTCAGTTCTAGTTCAGTTCTAGTTCAGTTCTAGTTCAGTTCTAGTTCAGTTCTAGTTCAGTTCTAGTTCAGTTCTAGTTCAGTTCTAGTTCAGTTCTAGTTCAGTTCTAGTTCAGTTCTAGTTCAGTTCTAGTTCAGTTCTAGTTCAGTTCTAGTTCAGTTCTAGTTCAGTTCTAGTTCAGTCTAGTTCAGTTCTAGTTCAGTTCTAGTTCAGTTCTAGTTCAGTTCTAGTTCAGTTCTAGTTCAGTTCTAGTTCAGTTCTAGTTCAGTTCTAGTTCAGTTCTAGTTCAGTTCTAGTTCAGTTCTAGTTCAGTTCTAGTTCAGTTCAGTTCTAGTTCAGTTCTAGTTCAGTTCTAGTTCAGTTCTAGTTCAGTTCTAGTTCAGTTCTAGTTCAGTTCTAGTTCAGTTCTAGTCAGTTCTAGTTCAGTTCTAGTTCAGTTCTAGTTCAGTTCTAGTTCCGTTCTAGTTCAGTTCTAGTTCAGTTCTAGTTTCAGTTCTAGTTCAGTTCTAGTTCAGTTCTAGTTCAGTTCTAGTTCAGTTCTAGTTCAGTTCTAGTTCAGTTTAGTTCAGTTCTAGTTCAGTTCTAGTTCAGTTCTAGTTCAGTTCTAGTTCAGTTCTAGTTCAGTTCTAGTTCAGTTCTAGTCAGTTCTAGTTCAGTTCTGTTCAGTTCTAGTTCAGTTCTAGTTCAGTTCTAGTTCCGTTCTAGTTCAGTTCTAGTTCAGTTCTAGTTCAGTTCTAGTTCAGTTCTAGTTTCAGTTCTAGTTCAGTTCTAGTTCAGTTCTAGTTCAGTTCTAGTTCAGTTCTAGTTCAGTTCTAGTTCAGTTCTAGTTCAGTTCTAGTCAGTTCTAGTCAGTTCTAGTTCAGTTCTAGTTCAGTTCTAGTTCAGTTCTAGTTCATTTCTCGTTGTCAGTTCTAGTTCAGTTCTAGTTCAGTTCTAGTTCAGTTCTAGTTAAGTTCTAGTCCGTTTAGTTCAGTTCTAGTGCAGTTCAGTTCTAGTTCAGTTCTAGTTCAGTTCTAGTTCAGTTCTAGTTCAGTTCTAGTTCAGTTCTAGTTCAGTTCTAGTTCAGTTCTAGTTCAGTTCTAGTTCAGTTCTAGTTCAGTTCTAGTTCAGTTCTAGTTCAGTTCTAGTCAGTTCTAGTTCAGTTCTAGTTCAGTTCTAGTTCAGTTCTAGTTCAGTTCTAGTTCAGTTCTAGTTCAGTTCTAGTTCAGTTCTAGTTCAAAAAACAGCTAGAAGCTTTTAAACAATGCTTTAAATTAAAGCTTTTTAAAAGTAAAAAATAAAAGTTTCACAAATCTCATTGTCTGTAATAAGAGCTTTCATAATTTCAAAGCTTTTCTTCATATTGTTCATAAACATGTAATTGTTCATACATTATACACACACTGATTTTTCAGCATACCACTTACATACACATGACAACAGACTGTTTCAAAGTTTTTTTTTAATTAATAAAAGCTTGTTAAGCTTTTAAGCTCTCTGAAAGTGTTATAATTTATTTTTAAAACCTTTTATATTTAAATAAAAGAAAACATTTGTAATTTAATAACGAAACTAAAAGACTTTCATTACAAAACCAAAATCAACATATAAATTGTAAATATGTATTTATGAATGTTCAAATGTAACTAACAAAAAGCTTTGGTTATAAAACACACTACTAATACCGCATTAAACCAACAAAAAAAACTAAACACACTGCTGTATATAAATTTTCAAAATTAATAACAAATTGCTTTAAATCCCATTTTCCCCCACCACCTTCAAATTAACCTCGTTCAAACAAAAACCATAAAAAAAGAAATTGGCCAACATCTGCTCTACAAACATGGCCCTTGCAACCGTCACCTTTAACGGCTTACACCAGTTATGGTTTGAATTTATTAACTCCTGCGCAATTGCAAGCTAATGGTGAACAAGAAAAATTACCAAAAGTGGCCCAACCAGCTTTGCAACCTACAGCTAATTTTGCCTCCTATCTAACGCCTCAATATTTAAGCCCTCAACAGCAATATTTCGCCTTTAATAGTGCCTTTTTTAATGCCCCCTTTGGACAATTTGCCTATACAACTGGTCAACAGTATTTGCCCCAACTAGTGGCCACATTACCCAGTATAGCACCAACATTAACGCCAGTTACAGAAAAGGTTACTACGACTACCACTACAGAGGCGCCTACTCAAAGACCCAAGATCAAAAATAGAGAACCTACTACCCGTAAACCTCAAGGTTCTTTGCAAGTTAAACCACCCAAGCTACAACTAAAGCCAGAAGATAAGACTCAAAACTTTTTAGATATACCAGTTAAACCCGAAAAAATTACCGAAATTGAGGGTGACTTTAAAAGTGATAAAGCTTTGTTGAAGGCTGTGGAAAAAATAAATCCTGAATATGTTATAGAAGAAATCATAAATGTACCGGGTAAACATGTTTTCTCCAGTGAGTCAACAGAAAAAATTAAAACCCCTCTTGCAAAACAAACAAAAGTTCAGACACAAAATAAATTGGTCGCAATAGAGCAAAAACAAATACAAATTCAACCAAGTAAACTGATCGCAGTACAGCAAAAGCAAAATCAGCTACAACAAACTCACAAAGCCAAAAAACAAAAAAAGCTTCCCGCCAAACAGAACCAAAGTGAAGATTTTGAACCTGAAACACAAGTGAAAGTTGAAGCTGTAGGCAAAACTTCCACCAAAGGCAACATACCAGAAATACCATTTGGCACTTACTTTTTGCCTTATTTCTCACAAAATCAACACCAACATGAAACAGGCAAAAAACCAGCGGCCCTAATTTTGGAACCCCATTCGAAAGCTATTGTTGGCAATGGTGGCACTGCCATTTCAACACCCATCTCAAAAGCTTATTTAAAACGAGGCGTTACTACAAATGTCTATTTTAATCCCGAATCGGTAGCTATTGCTGGAGTGGGTGGTAAAGCTCATGCTCAGGCAGATCTTGAGTTGGATTTGATAGATTAATTGTTTAAAAGAACTTTACAAAAGACTGAGCTGAAATTATTTTAGTAATAATTAATAAATAATTAAACGATAATGTACAAAAAAAATACTGTAAAATATTAAAATATTATAGAAAAATTAATAAACAAATTTAACATTGTAAATATTTTTAAAGTTTGTTTAATAATTACATGGTGAAAAGTTTGACAATTTGGTACGATGAATATAAAATCTATATTAAATAATGAAAAAGCTTTAAAGCTTAACAAGGCTTTAAAAGTTGGGTTTATTTAAGAAAACTAAAAAAGTAATCGATTATGAAGTATTATAAAGAAAAGTGGTCGATATTGAAGATTCCTATAAAACATTGAACGATGATAACAGTGATCTATAGAAAACTTATCAATGATAAAGTTTTCTATAGAAAACTGATCGATGATAAAGTTTTCTATAGAAAACTGATCGATGATAAAGTTTTCTATAGAAAACTGATCGATGATAAAGTTTTCTATTGAAAACTAATCGATCATAAAGTTTTCTATAGAAAACTTTCTATAGAAAACTGATCGATGGTAAAGTTTTCCATAGAAAACTGATCGATGGTAAAGTTTTCTATAGAAAATTGATCGATGGTAAAGTTTTCTATAGAAAACTGATCGATGATAAAGTTTTCTATAGAAAACTGATCGATGATAAAGTTTTCTATAGAAAACTGATCGATGATAATGTTTTCTATGGAAAACTGATCTTCAATAATATTTTCTATTGAAAACTGATCGATGATAAAGTTTTCTATAAAAAACTGTTTGATGGTTAAGATTTTTATAAAAAACTGATCGATGGTGAAGTTTTCTATAGAAAACTGATCGATGGTAAAGTTTTCTATAGAAAACTGATCGATGATAAAGTTTTCTATTGAAAACTGACCGATGGTAAAGTTTTCTATAGAAAACTGATCGATGATAAAGTTTCCTCTAGAAAACTGATCGTTGATAAAGTTTTCTGTAGAAAACTGATCGTTGAAAAAGTTTTCTGTAGAAAACTGATCGTTGATAAAGTTTTCTATAGAAAACTGATCGTTGAAAAAGTTTTCTCTAGAAAACTGATCGATATAAAAGTTTTCTCTAGAAAACTGATCGATATAAAAGTTTTCTCTAGAAAACTGATCGATGATAAAGTTTTACAGAATAGATTTAAATATTCAAATATTTCTATAGACTAGAGGTTTGTTAAGGGAATTCATGAATAAGGGGTCAAATCTCCAGACTAAAGAATTGTATATAATAAGCTTTTAAACAAGCACACATGTATTTATTTAGTTAAGAACTTTTCCCTTTCTTTCTCTACCTTTATCTTCCTCGTCTATTTCTCATTCTTTCCTTAAAAGCTTTCCTCTCAATTCCTTCAATAGTAGTTAGTAGTATTTAAATAGTAGTAAAAAATACTGGTACATGTTTAAATTTTTTTATTTCCAAACACACAAACATAAACTCCAATGTATTATACAAAAACCCCTCCATCCCCCTCTTGCACAATTAGACATAGATCTTCTGATATAGAGCTAAATGAAGATGCACAAACCCTGCCCTATTATGGTGGTCTTAAGGGACATTTTGTACACTTAAAAGATGGCCAAGTACAGAAAATTTCGGGTAATAACAATGAACAGAAAGCAGCTCCACGCCAAGGTCCTGTAGCGGCAGCTTCCAGTCAGATAGCTTTAACTGTACATGACAGTGAATACAATGATCATAAGTCATCGTTTGAGGAAGATTTTAATAAAATACAATTAGCTGCTGCTCGCCTGGTGGCCATACAAGAGTTGGCCAAACGTAAGGGTACCTTTAGTCCTGAAGATAATCGTGTTTATGCTGCTAGTCTTTTGGAATTGGGACAAGCTGCTCAAAATTTAGCCATGCTACAACAAACCGGACAAATACAAGATTTTAGTGTTCTATTACAGCCCATGCATAGTACAGTAATGCCTCAGAAGACACCTGTAAAAGAAGATAAAAATGCTGAAGATGCTGTGGCCATTGAGGCAGCTGTAGAGCCTCAAAAAGTAGATGAAGTTACGGAGCAACAATTAAGTGAATCTGATCTCTTGCCTCCCAATCATGAAGATCCCTATGAAGATGTACACGATAGTGTAGCCATAACACCACCAAAAAAAGATGCTTCTGTGGCGGAAGCTAAACCAGTGGGTGAGTTTTATTTTCGGACATATTTAATCAAGGGCTTTTCATAAATTTAAAATAAATCTTTCAGGTATCTCTATTGCTGGCGAGGGTGGTGTAGCCTCTGCTAAACCCAATGCTGTGGCTTTATCGGGACGCAATGGTTTGGCTGTATCTGCCCCCAAAGCCACTGCCATTGCTGGTGTAACTGCCGATGAGGCCGCTGCCTTTAGCATCTCTTTACCCACACGTAATAATTTAGTTATCAAATCTGTCTCTTCCCGTTTATCATCTCCTTCTTATGATGAATATGATGATATCGATACTTCTCCTCTTCGGGCCCATACACGCAATGTTCCTCTTCTTAGATCTGCCGGCATGGAGAAAAGTAAGGATAGCAGCAAAGCTAAGCCCATGATGTCCACTTTAAATGCCGCCGATGCTATTGTAAAAATGTGGCGCACTGCTATTGCCGAAGATCATGCTGCCGCTTATGGTTCACCCGAGCGTAATAATGATTTTGATATTGAACAATTTGTTAAGATCTCCAAGCAAATGAACAACCAACGTCGTAGAATTTAAGTTAAATATAAATATTTATTTTCTTTTATTTAATTAAACAATAATTGGGAATCTTTTGAGAGATAAGTAAATTATTTATGCTAAAAAGATTTGAATTTCTATAAAATTTAACAGTATTTAATAATAAATTAAAAAAATAATTTTTAACAAAATAAAATGGAAAGAAGCATTTAATTTAAATTAGAGAATTTTTTAAATAAAACTATATTTTGTGAGTGTCTAATTTATTATCATCTAGACCAATTAACTAAATAAAATATAATAATATACATATATAGACTTTCAGAATTTAGAATCTATCGATGATAATGATTTTAATATAGGACTGATCGGCGATAAAGTTTTCTAGAGAAACAGTAGATTTTTCTATACAAAAAAGATGGATAATAAAATTTTAAATAGGAAACTGATCAATGGAAAAGTTTTCTACAGAAAACTGATCGATGATAAAGTTTTACATAAAACTAAAGTTTTCTATAGAAAACTGATCGATGATAAAGTTGTTTGTAGAAAACAGAGCGATTTATAGAGAAAACTAATCGATTACAAAGTTTTATAGAGAAAACTGATCAATTATAAAGTTTTCTATAGAAAACTTTTAATGATAAAGTATTCTATAGAAAACTTTTAAATGATAAAGTATTCTATAGAAAAAAGATAGATGATAAAGTAGTCTGTAGAAAACTGATCAATGACAAAGTTGTCTGTAGAAAACTGATCGATGGTAAAGTTTTCTATAGAAAATGTATCTATTATAAAGTTTTCTAAAAAAAACTGACCGATTATAAAGTTCTCTATAGATCGATTATAAACTTGTCTGCTGCAAACTGATCGCTTAGAAATTGCTCTATTGAAAACTGATCGATTATAAAATGATCTAAAGAAAACTGATCGATAATAAAGTTTTCTATAGAAAACTGATCGATTATAATCTTTCCTATAGAAAACTGATCGATTAAAAAGTTTTCTATAGAAAACTGATTGATTATGAAGTTGTCTGTAGAAAACTGATCGATTATAAAGTTTTACACAGAAAACTGATCAATTGAAGTTTTCTATAGAAAACTAATCGATTGTAAAGTTTTCTGTAACAAACTGATCGATGATAAAGTTTTCTCTAGAAAATTTCTGCAGAAAACTGATCGATTGTAAAGTTTTCTATAGATCGATTATAAACTTTTCCACAGAAAACTGATCGATTATAAAGTGTTCTAAAGAAAACTGATCGATTATAAAGTTTTCTACAGAAAACTGATCGATTATAATCTTTTCTATAGAAAACTGATCAATTATAAAGTTTTCTATACAAAACTGATCAATTAAAAAGTTTTCTATAAAAAAATTTGATCGATGTAAAGTTTTTTATAGAAAACTGATCGATTATAAAGTTTTATATAGAAAAAGGATCGATTATAAAGTTGTTTGTAGAAAACTGATTGACGATAAATTTTTCTGAAGAAAACTAATCGATTATAAAATTTTCTATAGAAATCTGATCGATTATGAATTGTTCTATAGAAAACTGATCGATTATAGAGTTTTTTTTATAGAAAATTGATCGATTATAGAGTTTTCTATAGAAAACTGATCGAATATAAAGTTTTCAATAAAAAATAATCGATTATAACGTTTTTTATAGAAAACTGATCGAATAGAAAGTTTTCTATAGAAAACTGATCGTTTTTTTAAAGAATACTGATCGATTATAACATTTTCTATAGAAAACTGATCGATTGTAAAGCTTTGTATAGAAAACTGATCGAATATAGAAAACTGATCGAATATTGATTACAAAGATTTCTATTAAAAACTTTTTTCTATAGAAAACGGTTTGATGTTTCGATTTCTAAAGAAACCTGATGGATGACTTAGTTTTTCAAAGAAAACTGGTCGAATATAAAACTTTCTATAGAAAACTGAAAGAGGTTCTAGTAGAAAACTGTTAGATTATGAAATTGTTTATAGATCGATGATAAAGTTTTCTATAGAAAACTGACCGATATTAAAATTTTCTATAGAAACCCGATCAATTATTATGTTTTCTTTTGAAAACTATTTCCTAATAAACTTTTATAGAGAAAATTAATGGAGAAAAAATTATAGCTGATAAAGTTTTCTACAAAAATTGGTTGAAATTAAAATTCTTCATAGGAAACTGATCGATAAAAAAGTTTTCAATAGACCAAAACTGATCGATGACAAAATTTTATGCAGAAAACTGATCGATGATAGAGTTTTTTATAAAAACTGAACGTTGACAGGATTTTACTAAAGAAAGCTGAGATTTTTACAAATAAAACTGATCGATTTTAAAATTTTATATAGAATAAAAAATGTTCGACGTTACGTAAGGCATAACGTTAGCTTAAACATTATTAAGTAATTAATAGCTCCCATCTTAGAAAACACTTGTGCAAATAAAATGTTTAGCATATCTTAAGGCTTTAAACAATTTATGGACTGTTTATTACAAAATAAGATGATAAGAAAACTACAAAAATCGTAAAAAATAAAAAATAAACATAATAAAAAAAACGCTGATCAAATAAAAATATGTTTAAAATTTTACTATTTCCTTAATTTGTAATTGGTAAGTTGTATACAAATTTTTTTATGATTTTACTTCCAAATGCTACTAACTATAGAATAGTATTTAATTAAAAGTTTATATATTGTTATTATAAGAAGTTTATAATATGTGTTCTCAAACAATTAACTTTAAAATAAAACTATAAAGCATTTTTATTTTATTACGCTCAATTTATGAAGTTCGTGTCGTAAGTCTTTTGTTTCCACACTTGTAAACAGGACTGTAAAATACAATTAATTACAAGTGATTTGCAAGTTTTTATAGTCTTAAATAAAAAGCCATACCATGAGTATGTACGTGTCTTAAATCTTTCGTTTTATTTAATTTTTCAGTAACAACATGATAAAGTTGATAATAAAGTGATTACGATTATAATTGAAAGGTATTTCACTTCATTTGATAGATGTGTAGAACAGCAGGATATGAGCAACAAGTTTAATTTATTACAAAAATGGTTTAGTTTTTATTCTTTGACAAAATTTTATATGACAAAATGCTCCTTTTTATTAAAGTCATACAATTGTTTTATTATTAATTAAATAGTTTACTTAAATTTATAATAAATGTACTTTCATTAATAAATAAACGGTAATAAACAAAAAAAAAATACAATTTTCGACAAAAAAAGCTTAAGCTAATAAAGTTATAAAACAAAGATGAAAGTCATTAATTTAAAGAATGACTTAAGAAACCAGATACAATTAAAACTAAAATAGAAAAAAATATAATAAAATTATAAAAAAAATATATATGGCAAAAAGAAAATAAGAAACCATAAATAGCAATTGCTGTAATAACTCACAGACACAGGCATTACAGCTACAAAGAACATCTTTTTTCTTAGCTTTTCGTTTTGGTCTGTGTAGCTTTTTTTACTTACACAAGTTTTTCTGCTTTTCTAAACTTTGTATTGTTTGTAATTGGTGGGTCTGCATCGACACGTTAAAATGTTAGTAACAAATCTTATTTCTAAACTTTATAGTAGGTCAGTTTTATGCCTGCACCTTTGGAAATGTCAAGTACTACACTTAGTACTACAATGGGACTCTTACTAGTGGTTCATTCATACACTACACCATAGCCTAGACTATATAATATACTATAAGGTAGACTAAAGACCAGACTATAGACTACACCATTTCAAGTTTAATTTGAGAAAATCCAAAGTTATATTGTGAAACACCAAAATGAATTTTAGAAATCCAATTTAATATTGAGACATACCAAATTAAATTTAGGAATCAAAATTGATATGAAGAAAAAACAAATTGAAATTTGAATTTTCAACTTAATATTGAGAAAAAACCAATTGATATTGAGAAGTCGAAATTAATATTGAGATAATACGAATTGAAATTGACAAAATACAAAATGATATTAAGAAAGCCTAATTTTGTATTGAAATTTATATTATTTTAAATCCATATCCTATTTAAACATTTTATAAGAAAAATATTTTCATACAAATTTTAAATTTCTCATTTTCATTTATTAGTTTCTCAATTTCAACTTGTAATTTCTTAATATAATGTTGGGATTCTGAATTTCAATTTGTTTTTTCTCGATATGAATTTGCATTTCTTAATTTAATTTTATTATTTCTCAATATTAGTTTGGATTTCTCAATTTCAAATGGGGTTTTCTCAATATTAATTTAAATTTCTGAACTTTAATTTGAATTTTCTAAATTTTAAATTGAAATTCTCAATATGAGTTTGTATTTTCTCAATTTAAACTTGAAATGGTGTAGAATATAATTGAAAGGCATAGACTATAGACTAGAAAATAACTGGACTATACTAGACTATAGACTAGACTATAGACTAGACTATAGACTAGACTATAGACTAGACTATAGACTAGACTATAGACTAGGCTATATACTAGACTATAGACTAGACTATAGACTAGACTATAGACTAGACTATAGACTAGACTAGACTATAGACTAGACTAGACTATAGACTAGACTATAGACTAGACTATAGACTAGACTATAGACTAGACTATAGACTAGACTATAGACTAGACTATAGACTAGACTATAGACTAGACTATAGACTAGACTATAGACTAGACTATAGACTAGACTATAGACTAGACTATAGACTAGACTATAGACTAGACTATAGACTAGACTATAGACTAGACTATAGACTAGACTATAGACTAGACTATAGACTAGACTATAGACTAGACTATAGACTAGACTATAGACTAGACTATAGACTAGACTATAGACTAGACTATAGACTAGACTATAGACTAGACTATAGACTAGACTATAGACTAGACTATAGACTAGACTATAGACTAGACTATAGACTAGACTATAGACTAGACTATAGACTAGACTATAGACTAGACTATAGACTAGACTATAGACTAGACTATAGACTAGACTATAGACTAGACTATAGACTAGACTATAGACTAGACTATAGACTAGACTATAGACTAGACTATAGACTAGACTATAGACTAGACTATAGACTAGACTATAGACTAGACTATAGACTAGACTATACTACTAGACTATAGACTAGACTATAGACTAGACTATAGACTAGACTATAGACTAGACTATAGACTAGACTATAGACTAGACTATAGACTAGACTATAGACTAGACTATAGACTAGACTATAGACTAGACTATAGACTAGACTATAGACTAGACTATAGACTAGACTATAGACTAGACTATAGACTAGACTATAGACTAGACTATAGACTAGACTATAGACTAGACTATAGACTAGACTATAGACTAGACTATAGACTAGACTATAGACTAGACTATAGACTAGACTATAGACTAGACTATAGACTAGACTATAGACTAGACTATAGACTAGACTATAGACTAGACTATAGACTAGACTATAGACTAGACTATAGACTAGACTATAGACTAGACTATAGACTAGACTATAGACTAGACTATAGACTAGACTATAGACTAGACTATAGACTAGACTATAGACTAGACTATAGACTAGACTATAGACTAGACTATAGACTAGACTATAGACTAGACTATAGACTAGACTATAGACTAGACTATAGACTAGACTATAGACTAGACTATAGACTAGACTATAGACTAGACTATAGACTAGACTATAGACTAGACTATAGACTAGACTATAGACTAGACTATAGACTAGACTATAGACTAGACTATAGACTAGACTATAGACTAGACTATAGACTAGACTATAGACTAGACTATAGACTAGACTATAGACTAGACTATAGACTAGACTATAGACTAGACTATAGACTAGACTATAGACTAGACTATAGACTAGACTATAGACTAGACTATAGACTAGACTATAGACTAGACTATAGACTAGACTATAGACTAGACTATAGACTAGACTATAGACTAGACTATAGACTAGACTATAGACTAGACTATAGACTAGACTATAGACTAGACTATAGACTAGACTATAGACTAGACTATAGACTAGACTATAGACTAGACTATAGACTAGACTATAGACTAGACTATAGACTAGACTATAGACTAGACTATAGACTAGACTATAGACCAGACTATAGACCAGACTATAGACTAGACTATGTACCAGAATTTAGACTAGACTATAGATCCATAAGCTTAAAATATAAGTAGGTATGTTCTTGTGTAAATAACAAAGTGGCGATTTTAAAATGAGATGTTAAATGTTCCTTGATTAATTTATAATTAGCCAATGTACTTGCCACTAAATTAGTCTACAATATTAAGTCATATTAACAATTGAAAATTGTCTCACTTACCTTTAAAATTCTTTTTGTTAGTGTTAGCTTATATCATTTAATAAATTTGTATACAAAAATATTATCGACCGAACCGCTTCCCGTTTTATTTACTTTAATTAAAATATGGGCAACTCTACTGCCCTTTAGAATTACACTAAAAACAACAAAAACACTTGTTGTCAAAATATAAACATTGCACTTTTTTCTTGATTGCTCTATTTCTACTTTTACTTTATGCTTTTCTTATTGCTCTGCTTTAATAAAGATTTTACTCTTATTTGCTCATGCTCTTCTTTCATAAAAAAATAAAAAAACAACAACACACATTAAATTTAAATGCAAATCACGCCACGCTCAACCCACACATACTCCTGTGTAAAGGGTTTTTGCGTAGAAAAAAAAGAACAACAATATTAAAGAAACACCGTTAACTATAAGAACAACAAACGAATAAGTACAGACGCACTTATTTTTTTAATTTGAGACTTATTTTTTTCACTGATTGATTTTCATAACAACTTGATTATAACACTTAATTATTATATTTTTCAATAGATTTCTTATTAGATTACTTTATTAGGATAAATATTTAGGGATTTTATAGGTTTTAGAACACTTTTACTTTTCTTAATATGCACTTAAATACGGACGACAAATTTTAACGTGTTAATTTAATGGTAACCGCGTGAGAACTAAATAAATTCCTTATTAAGGCAGAGTTGCCAATGAAGAGAGGAATTTGTTAGATAGCAAGATTTAATTGATAAAGCTAGGATTTTAAGGGAAGGGAAAATGAAGAATTTTATTAATAAAAGTGGGAGTTTAATGGGAAATGAAAAGCTAATGGTTTTTGTGATTTTATAAGAAATGTTTTTGAATTGTATATAATTTCTTAGTTAGTTAGTTAGTTAGTTAGTTAGGTTAGTAGTTAGTTAGTTAGTTAGTTAGTTAGTTAGTTAGTTAGTTAGTTAGTAGTTAGTTAGTTAGTTAGTTAGTTAGTTAGTTAGTAGTTAGTTAGTTAGTTAGTTAGTTAGTAGTTAGTTAGTTAGTTAGTTAGTTAGTTAGTTAGTTAGTTAGTTAGTTAGTTAGTTAGTTAGTAGTTAGTTAGTTAGTTAGTTAGTTAGTTAGTTAGTTAGTTAGTAGTTAGTTAGTAGTTAGTTAGTTAGTTAGTTAGTTAGTTAGTTAGTTAGTTAGTTAGTTAGTTAGTTAGTTAGTTAGTTAGTTAGTTAGTTAGTTAGTTAGTTAGTTAGTTAGTTAGTTAGTTAGTTAGTAGTTAGTTAGTTAGTTAGTTAGTTAGTTAGTTAGTTAGTTAGTTAGTTAGTTAGTTAGTTAGTTAGTTAGTTAGTTAGTTAGTTAGTTAGTTAGTTAGTAGTTAGTTAGTTAGTAGTTAGTTAGTTAGTTAGTTAGTTAGTTAGTTAGTTAGTTAGTTAGTTAGTTAGTTAGTTAGTTAGTTAGTTAGTTAGTTAGTTAGTTAGTTAGTTAGTTAGTTAGTTAGTTAGTTAGTTAGTTAGTTAGTTAGTTAGTTAGTTAGTTAGTAGTTAGTTAGTTAGTTAGTTAGTTAGTTAGTTAGTTAGTTAGTTAGTTAGTTAGTTAGTTAGTTAGTTAGTTAGTTAGTTAGTTAGTTAGTTAGTTAGTTAGTTAGTTAGTTAGTTAGTTAGTTAGTTAGTTAGTTAGTTAGTTAGTTAGTTAGTTAGTTAGTTAGTTAGTTAGTTAGTTAGTTAGTTAGTTAGTTAGTTAGTTAGTTAGTTAGTTAGTTAGTTAGTTAGTTAGTTAGTTAGTTAGTTAGTTAGTTAGTTAGTTAGTTAGTAGTTAGTTAGTTAGTAGTATTTGTTTAGTTAGTTAGTTAGTTAGTTAGTTAGTTATGTTAGTTTAGTTAGTTAGTTAGTTAGTTAGTTAGTTAGTTAGTTATTAGTTATTTCGGTTTATAGTTCGTTGTTCGTTGTTCGTTAGTTTCGTTAGTTCGTTAGTTAGTTAGTTAGTTGTTTCGTTCTTTTCGTTCTTCGTTCGTATTCGTTCGTTGTTCGTTCGTTTCGTTAGTTCTTTCGTTTCTTGTTGTTTTCGTTCGTTGTTCGTTGTTCCGTTCGTCGTTAGTTCGTGTTGTTAGTTCGTTCATGTTAGTTCGTTTGGAGTTTTCGTTCGTTCGTTGATTTAGTCTGTTCGTTCGTCTTAGATCTCATTGCTCTTTATAACCTAACGGAGTTGATACTGGAAAGGGCGTTGGGATTTCAAGTGCAGATCCTCGTTCTGGCAAGATCATTTCCATAGTAGTCCCTGTGGCGCAGGGACCCAAACAAGGGACGCTTGACCATCGACAAAAATTCCCATGTTACCGCGACATGAGTAGGGTACAACTGATTTTCTTTAGGTCGGATTATTTTCATTTCATTTAAATCTCTAAAAGAAATTGCCAACCAGTTTCTAAAATTAAACTCAAAACAAGTACATCTATGAACTTCAGTTTTTTCTTTCTTGGCTTCGCGCAGCTTGATAGTAAGTTTGGCTTTGAGTTAAATTCTTTACAGATGTCATTTGATATCAAACCACGGGCCAATAATTTTAAATAATCTCTGCTATAAGAGTTACTATTAAACTGGTAAACTTCGAATGGAAAAAAGTAAAAGATTGTAGAACAAAATAGCATAACATACAGCTAGAAAAAAAAAAGAAAGATATTGGATACATATTTAGAAGACTCTGGGCGATTTGTGGAAAAACTGCTATTGTAACTATTGGATAATAAAGGGTTGTTAACCAAGCAACCAACCAAGTTGTGACCGCCAGAGTAAGTGTGTGTTTGATATAAAAATTCTAGTTTATTCCTTTTTTCCATTATATATATTTTTCTTTCATTTTTTGCTTGATCCATTGTAAGCTTAGAGGTTATTGCTTTTATAGTTTTAGAACTTTGAGTTTGTCTTATTGTTGTTCTGCATACAACAATTTAAAGATGCAACAGCAGCAGCAGCATTATTGTGGCAGGTTAGTTTAGTTTAGAATTGCTCTGGCTTAAGTTTCATGTTTGGTGGCTTTTACCAACTTCTTTTTGTACTTTTTTTGTTGTTTTGATTTTGTTCTTGTATTTCTTTTTTCCTATTTTATTTATTTGTTGTGTTAAATATATAATTTTTTTTATCTGCTTTGTGGCAATTTACACTAATGTTGCAGCGTGTGTTTTCAATGTTATAAAAAGGTCGGTATGTGAACATTTGGTCAGCAGTTTCCTTTAACTGTCCCATAAGGAACGTTCTTCGTTCGTTATTTTTTATAATAGGAAATAAATTAGTGCATCTGTTGAACAGAATTTGTGATAAAGTGTAATTGTGTTTTGTTTTTATTCGTATTGTTGTGACGCTGTTTCATTGGATTGATTGGTTTTTATTGAGAGATACATAAAGGCAGACTTACACCGAATTTTTTAAAAAAAGACTGATAGAAGTACAATTTATTTTAAGAATATAAAGATAGATGGTAAGTTGTTAATTTAAATTTAATTTCCATGATATTTATATCTGCAGGATCATTAAGTTTGATATTTTAAGAATTACAGAAAATTGCACATTTTTAGGATCTTATTTTGTTGCAGTAGAAAAAAATCGTGTACAATAAACGATTCTGAACGAAATATTAAAAAGCTCAAAACATTATTAATAAGTAACTTAATATGGATACCCTGAAAAGGGATTTCAATCGGGTTTTAAGAAATGTAATTATTTCGTATATTTCAGACCCAAATTCTTATATTTGAGATCAAATTATTTGGTATTTAAGAATTCTATATGATATAATCAAGGATTTAACTAAGAATACCAAAACAAATTCAATAAAAAAGTGTCAGAATGAGAAAATCCTGCCCGACCAGAAAAGTTCCAAAGATCAAAAATCACGGCTCAGTGGGGAAGAATCGATTTTTTTTATTAAATTCTTAAGCGGCTGGTCTGATCGGGATAATATTTGACATTGGCAAAGCCAAGGAGTAATCGAGTTTTAATTTTTCAAAAGAACCTCCACAAATGCTTTAGCGACGGTGCTATAGGGTCCCAAAGTAGGACAACCTCGACTGGTGGTTTTCAAAGATTTTTATATTTTCTGAAAGTTTTCGACTAGATCTTCATGATAATGATTACTTTATATATATAAAGTATAAAGACCACACCATGGTCTACTTTTTTTTAAATATCGGGCAAAATTTTGAACCGATTTTTTCCTATTAGTTCGATAACAAAATTTCCAATGCAATTTCCAAAATTTCCATTCTTGCCGCTACGACGTTTTGCATTTGACCTATTTTTGATTAAATTTTCAACTCTGAGCCATATTTTATAAAATTCCTAAGCGGGATCACGAAACGAATAGCAGTTTTGGAAAATTTCAAGTGTTTCTTATGTTTTCCGAAAGTATTGGACCAGTCCCTAAAGAAATGTGGAACCTATGCGCAAAATTGTATAAAATTGTAGTTTTGGGATATTTGTTTAAATATTTGGGAATTCCGGGATACCCTTTGACATTTTAAAAAAGAATTTTAGTATTTAATTATATGGGAGGTGCTATGACCCTAGTCCACTTGTTCTGTAATCAAATGTCCATATTGATACTAAGAGAATTCTAGATGTAATACTTTCCCAGATATACGGACTTTAGTATTTAATTCATATGAGAGGTGCCACGCCACCTATTGCTAGTTTGCCCATTTGGGTCTTAAATATTAATATTGTGACTAAAGTGGCTGCTATATTTTCTTAATATTTTCATTATGTAGGTAAAGCCACGTCATTATTGCCTATACAAAATTTGAGGACTTTAGTTGTACAGGGATATATGATTTTGTAAGAAAATGGGCGTGGCACCTCGTTCAGGCCCACAGAAACACACAAATAAAGACAAATGAGGCCTTGTCATAATATAATCTGACAAAAGAACTTAGCCATAAATCGAATAAGAAAGAGATAGAAGAAACGGATTAATACAATTTAAGACGTTTCAAATTCGTTACCTTCAGTTCTGAACTTGGATTCAGTAACCCTATAGCATTTTTCACAATTGCCCAAACTTTCTTAAAGATGAACAAATATTTCTCTTCCAATTTCAGATGTTTAAATACTTGTTATTATGCTCCCTTTTAGTCCATATTATATGGGCTAAACCAGTACATCAGCATCATGGCGAATTGGGTCCACACGTACTCATCGTTACACCGCAAGCTCAATTGCGCTTAGAGTCGTTAGTACCGGGTACACCGATCATACAGCATCTCTCACCCTTTACCCGTTTTGTAGCACCACACGAGGAGACTATTGTCTATGTGCCGGCAAGTGCTGCAGCCGCTATACAAAATGCTGAAATTGTGTCACGTTCTTTAGAGGGCAATAAGGGTAAACAGCTTAATCCACAAGTTTTTACCAATGCTCTAGCCACCATAGCCAGTAATAGTGCTCAGTCGCTACAAAGTGCTGCTGAATCGGCTGCAACGGCCGCCAATAATTATATCACCAGTTCTTCGACATATGTGCCTAATTTAGGCAATCCGGCCAGCAGTTTCCAAACGGCCGCAGAATCCCTATATCAGGGAGCTCAGAGTACTATTAATAGTTATGTACAATCGCAACAGCAGTCTCAACAACCACAAGCGCAAACCACACAACTGTTGTCTGCTGAGACCCCTTTGGCAGCAGCAGAAATTTCTCTGCCTCCTATTATATCCGAACAAAAGTTACCCATTATATCGACTGCCGTTTCACTGCCTCCCCTAATATCTTCGGAACAAAAATTGCCTTTAATTTCGATAGGCTCGAAAATACCTTCATTATCCTCATTATTATCACCAGCTTTGCCGGCAATTTCGATTTACACCAATGAACCCAGACATCATTATTTCGTGGCACCAGCTGCTCCTCATGTAGTCGATTATGTACCCAGTTCCATACTTTTATCGCCGGCCACAGCAACCACCATTAAAGCACGTCGTAGTGTTATAGCTGACGATAAGGAAGCCAACAAACCAATATTGCCTTTAATTTTACCAGAACCCACTAATAAACCCCTGGCCTTGCCTTTGAATAATGAACTTGAAAAGGAAGAATTGTTGTTGAAAGAAAAGAAGGAGGAGTTTAAGCGTTTCTTAGAGGCAAATGCCTTAAAGGAGGAGCTTAAAGAGGGACAATTGGAACAGAAGCCTATAGAAGATATAAAGCTGGCAGAAAATGAAAAGAGTAAGGAAGAGTTCACAGGTCCCAAGGTTCATATTTAAATGTTTTTTTTTTTTTTTTTATTCTTATAACAAAGTACAAAACGTCAATTTGGAAAATAATCCCTTGGAATTGAAATTATCCCCTTCGGCACCAGCTGAGAAAGAAGATGATACTCCACAAACTAAGGAGGCTTAAAGAAAAGGATAACATTTAAATCACTAAATAGACTGACTGCATGGAATACATCACATCACAAGTAAATTTTAACACACACAATGATCATACAAAAAAAAAAAAAAAAAAAACAATTCAATCATCAACATCACACCGATTTTTTTTATTTTATTTCTTAATTTTATTCTATTTTAAGATTTTACTTTTAGTTTTTTTTTAATTTTGATTTATTATCAATAAATATTTATATATTTAATTAATTTAGTTCATACATTTCATACGTACATTCATCAAAACATCACATAAATGCATTCAAATACATCACATCACACATAACAAGCAAGAAATAATCACAAAAAAAAAAACAAAACAAAATTTACAACAACCTTAAAAAACTTTTAATAAAAAATAAAATGTAATAAATTAAACCTGGTGTTATATATTTTATTATCAATTACTTTAATATTAGATAATTTAGGGGAAAAAAACTTCATGATTTGAGTCCAAATGGGGTGTCTTCTAAGACATTGTTACTAAAAACAGCACTTGCATATTAATGTTGTCTTCAAATATTTGTTGATTGTGCCGCCACTATTGACCAACAATTGTAACAGTAACATTGTTATCTCTGCAAATCTAAATACATAATTAACCCTTTGAGTACTCAGGTGTTTAAGCTGTATACCTACAGTTTCTTAAATAACGCTCCAATTGAGAAACTAGTGAAAATCTGTGATCACTCTTATTTCCCACCAAAAATCGATTTTTATATGAAAAACTTAAAATCGGCTGTAGTTTCTTAAATAAGGCTCCAATTGAGAAAATAGTGAAAATCTGTGATCACTCATATTTTCCACTAAAAATCGATTTTTATATGAAAAACTTAAAATCGGCTGTAGTTTCTTAAATAACGCTCCGATTGAGAAAATAGTGAAAATCTGTGATCACTCATATTTTCCACTAAAAACCGATTTTTATATGAAAAACTTAAAATCGGCTGTAGTTTCATAAATAACGCTTCAATTGAGAAACTAGTGAAAATCTGTGATCACACATATGTCCCACCAAAAATCGATTTTTATCGACTTTTATACGAAAAACTTAAAATCGGCTGTAAGTTCTTAAATAACGCTCCAATTGAGAAACTAGTGAAAATCTGTGATCACTCATATTTCCCACCAAAAATCGATTTATATGAAAAACTTAAAATCGGCTATAAATTCTTAAATAACGCTCCAATTGAGAAACTAGTGAAAATCTGTGATCACTCATATTTCCCACCAAAAATCAATTTTTATACGAAAAACTTAAAATCGGCTGTAGTTTCTTAAATAAGGCTCCAATTAAGAAACTAGTGAAAGTCTGTGATCACTTATATTTCCCACTAAAAACCTATTTTAATATGAAAAACTTAAAATCGGATGTAGTTTCATAAATAATGCTCCAATTGAGAAAATAGTGAAAATCTGTGATCACTCATATTTCCCACTAAAAATCGATTTTTATATGAAAAACTTAAAATCGGCTGTACATCCTTAAATAAGGCTCCAATTGAAAAACTAGTGAAAATCTGCTGTACATCCTTAAATAAGGCTCCAATTGAGAAACTAGTGAAAATCTGTGATCACTCATATTTCCCAACAAATTGATTTTTATATGAAAAACTTAAAATCGGCTGTACATCTTTAAATAAGGCTCCAATTAAGAAACTAGTGAAAGTCTGTGATCACTTATATTTCCAACCAAAAACCTATTTTTATATGAAAAACTTAAAATCGGCTGTAGTTTCATAAATAATGCTCCAATTGAGAAAATAGTGAAAATCTGTGATCACTCATATTTCCCACTAAAAATCGATTTTTATATGAAAAACTTAAAATCGGCTGTACATCCTTAAATAAGGCTCCAATTGAAAAACTAGTGAAAATCTGCTGTACATCCTTAAATAAGGCTCCAATTGAGAAACTAGTGAAAATCTGTGATCACTCATATTTCCCAACAAATTGATTTTTATATGAAAAACTTAAAATCGGCTGTACATCTTTAAATAAGGCTCCAATTAAGAAACTAGTGAAAGTCTGTGATCACTTATATTTCCAACCAAAAACCTATTTTTATATGAAAAACTTAAAATCGGCTGTAGTTTCTTAAATAAGGCTCCAATTGAGAAACTAGTGAAAATCTGTGATCACTCATATTTCCCACCAAAAATCAAATTTTATACGAAAAACTTAAAATCGGCTGTAGTTTCTTAAATAATGCTCCAATTGAGAAACTAGTGAAAATCTGTGATCACTCTTATTTTCCACCAAAAATCGATTTTTATATGGAAAACTTAAAATCGGTTGTAGTTTCTTAAATAACGCTCCAATTGAGAAACTAGTGAAAATCTGTGATCACTCTTATTTCCCACCAAAAATCGATTTTTATATGGAAAACTTAAAATCGGTTGTAGTTTCTTAAATAACGCTCCAATTGAGAAACTAGTGAAAATCTGTGATCACTCTTATTTCCCACCAAAAATCGATTTTTATATGAAAAACTTAAAATCGTCTATAAATTCTTAAATAACGCTCCAATTGAGAAACTAGTGAAAATCTGTGATCACTCATATTTCCCACTAAAAATCGATTTTTATATGAAAAACTTAAAATCGGCTGTAGTTTCTTAACTAACGTTACAATTGAGAAACTAGTGAAAATCTGTGATCACTCATATTTCCCAACAAAAATCGATTTTCATATAAAAACTTAAAATCGGATGTAGTTTCATAAATAACGCTCCAATTGAGAAAATAGTGAAAATCTGTGATCAATCATATTTTTTAACAAAAATCGATTTTTATATGAAAAACTTAAAATCGGCTGTAAGTTCTTAAATAACGCTCTAATTGAGAAATATTTCTCACCAAAAATCGATTTTTTTATGAAAAACTTAAAATCGACTGTAGTTTCTTAAATAAGGCTCCAATTGAGAAACTAGTAAAAATCTATGATCACTCATATTCCCCACCAAAAATCAATTTTTATATGAGAAACTTAAACGATTTTTTGCACTATATATTTTTTGTTTTAAATAGTAATGAATAAAGATGATCTCAATTCTTTTTATAACAAATACACACTTTTTAAAAATAATAAATAAATAAAAAATTTTTATTATTTAACACCAACATTTAACTTAAAATAAAAAACAAATAAATAACTAATTAACACTTTAAAATTTCCTTATAATTTCTTATTATTATTATTAATCGATTTGTTGTTTTTTATTTCAATAAATTCATTCTCTTCATCTGCGTCATTTAGCGTGACCGAAGGCGGTGTTGCTCTTGTAGTGATCGTAATGGTTGTGCTGGTAAGTGGCCGTCTTGTGGATTTATTCAAAGTCAACGAGGTCTTATTATTTCTATTATTACCATTACTAATGTGGCCACTAGTTAAATTGACATCGATTTCATTTGGTCCCAAAGTCAATGTCTCATTTGGCAATGCATTTGTTGTCGTTGTAGTCGTGGGCTTATAATCCTCCCGCACCGGTTTACTGGTATCGGTATATTTATAAATAGAAAAATATGTCTGTATACGTTGGATAACACGTTCCAAAAATGGTGGAAATTTATGCTCAACACCATCACCATATATTTTCTGATTTAAATCATTTAAAGTGTTTTTCCCTTGAAGTGGTCTCGTTAAGCGTATGGCATTTAGTATGGTTTTAAAGATGAGTGCATCTTGCCAAATATTGGTAGAATTATTGAGAGTACTGCGCAATATTAAGGAACCATTGGGTTTTAATTCCAAAAAACCATCATCTGTATTGCTGAGTTTGGGATTTTGTATAATTGCCGCTTGCAGGGGTATGATCACCAGTGGGATTAGGAAAACTGTTAATTTCAATTTGTCCATTTTTAGAAAATTTTGCAAAACACTTTTCTTGTATTTTATTTATATTTATTTTTGAGTTTCTTTTAATGTTAAACCAGCTTTATTAATGGGTTTTTTAAAGAAATCCACTAGCTCTTATTGCTGCCAATGTTGTATTGACAATAATTGTAATGTTTTTTAGTGTGACTTGCATTGGTGATCACTTTTTTGGCCACGCATATTTTGAAAAGGTAAAAGAGTGTATATGAGATCGAGACCATGTTTGTTTGTATTTTTAGACCTTACACGACTATAGCAATAGCTGGGAGAGTATTATATGTTTGTGTTAAGGTTTGTAACGTTCAATAGAGTCTGATTCACTTAATGGGGCGGTGAATACATGTCTGTTAGCCCATGTTAATCTTTAAACTTATTTAACCAAAACTAAGTAACTAACTAGCTAACTAACTAACTAACTAACTAACTAACTAACTAACTAACTAACTAACTAACTAACTAACTAACTAACTAACTAACTAACTAACTAACTAACTAACTAACTAACTAACTAACTAACTAACTAACTAACTAACTAACTAACTAACTAACTAACTAACTAACTAACTAACTAACTAACTAACTAACTAACTAACTAACTAACTAACTAACTAACTAACTAACTAACTAACTAACTAACTAACTAACTAACTACTAACTAACTAACTAACTAACTAACTAACTTACTTACTAACTAAATAACTAGAACAGAACTAAAACAGAAATAGAACAGAACTAGAACAGAACTAGAACAAAACTAGAACAGAACTAGAACAGAACTAGAACAGAACTAGAACAGAACTAGAACAGAACTAGAACAGAACTAGAACAGAACTAGAACAGAACTAGAACAGAACTAGAACAGAACTAGAACTGAACTAGAACAGAACTAGAACAGAACTAGAACAGAACTAGAACAGAACTAGAACAGAACTAGAACAGAACTAGAACAGAACTAGAACAGAACTAGAACAGAACTAGAACAGAACTAGAACAGAACTAGAACAGAACTAGAACAGAACTATAACAGAACTAGAACAGAACTAGAACTAGAATAGAACTAGAACAGAACTAGAACAGAACTAGAACAGAACTAGAACAGAACTAGAACAGAACTAAAACAGAACTAGAACAGAACTAGAACAGAACTAGAACATAACTAGAACAGAACTAGAACAGAACTAGAACAGAACTAGAACTGAACTAGAACTGAACTAGAACTGAACTAGAACTGAACTAGAACTGAACTAGAACTGAACTAGAACTGAACTAGAACTGAACTAGAACTGAACTAGAACTGAACTAGAACAGAACTAGAACAGAACTAGAACAGAACTAGAACAGAACTAGAACAGAACTAGGACAGAACAGAACAGAACAAGAACAGAACTAGAACAGAACTAGAACAGAACTAGAACAGAACTAGAACAGAACTAGAACAGAACTAGAACAGAACAGAACTAGAACAGAACTAGAACAGAACTAGAACAGAACTAGAACAGAACAGCACTAGAACTCAACTTTAACTGAACCAGAACGTAACTAGAACTGAACTAAAGTAGAATTGAACTAGAACTGAACTAGAACAGAACTAGAATTCAACTAGAACTGAACCAGAAATTAACTAGAACTAAATTAGATTTGAACTATAACTAGAATTGAACTAACTAACTAGGTTTATAACCGACCTTAGCAATTACTTCCGAAATACTCTTTTTATCAGTGTAGGCAATTATAAAGTCGTGCTTCAGCCAATACTTTCTTACTTGTTTTTTTTTTGGCTTAGTATTTATTTGATTTGTAAGTTAATGCCCACTCTCCGATTGCAGTGTACAAAGTACTACCACTACTTTTACTCAATTTTTACTCTCATTTCGGTCAGTTTGTCTTCCCTGCGAAATAACTGTTTTAACTACATATACGACCGATTTAATGTGAATTTTTATGTGTTTTTTTCTTTGGTGGTGAGTTTGTGCATTAAATTAAACTACATGACGGATAGTATTGTTTACATTTCTTATTTGCATTGACTTTTTAAAAGAAAAGTTTCATAATAATTAACATTGAAAGTACAGATACACCCTACATAAGATTTTATGAAATTGGAACTTTTCAACCTTTATTTTAAAGTGTTTGAACTTATGAATCATATGCTATTCTAAAGTATTACATCTTTAACTTTAGGTGAAAGATTAGGGATTAAATTAAAATTAATCCTCGAAAGTTGTTTTTTTAATTTGGAAACTACAAAAAAGTTTTATCGGTTTTATTGCTACCTAAAGAAATTAAATTTACTGACTTTTAGATCAAAATTAAACCATGATAACACTGTCCTACTACTATTAACGACCCTTAAATTTCAAATATTTACGATCGTTACTAGTTCAGAGACTATCTTTCTTATGTCCTAAGCTTTCAACAGAGTTGTTTTTTAAATTTTAAATAAAAAAATTTGATTGAATTTGATATCAATATTTGAATCATGTTTATTATAAAATAATAATACGATACCATTTATCTAAAATGAATCATAGACTAAAATTAACCCTATTACTTAGTGATTTCTTTATCACTCAATCCTTTCATCAATATTTCTGGAGTATTTCCGAAAATTTCTTGTTGCCATCTTACTTACTTGCGAGTATGCATAAATTAACTATTATTTCTTAAGATTTTTTCGTGAATCATAGATTAAAATTGATTATTTTGATTCGACATAAGTATATTTTTAAAACAAACAAAATTTTGAAACAAGTTTATTTACGACTGTCTCCAGCCGAAAAAATAATAATATAAAAGTATAAACAAATTACTTCCATGACGCTTAAGAGTCTGGCTCAATATGATAAAATCTATAACTACGTAATAAATTTAAAGATTATTTCAAGATGAAAGAAACAAAATAAAATGGCAATAATATTTTTGAGTTCTATAATTTAAAACTATAAATTATATAATTAACATGTTTTGATTTAAGCATTTCATTCAGTTTTTTTTTTAAAGTTCGACATAAATTAATGATTTTCAATTCAGCAACGTACGTCAGTTGTTTTCAAAAAAACTAACTAAAATGTTTTGTGGCTGACATCGTAAAATAGCGAAAAAAAAAAACTTCACAATTTTATTTTCATTTATTTAGTTGAAGATCAAAAGTTCAAGGTTTTTTGTTTTCCCAAACAATTTTTTTTTGTTATTTTTAAATCCCTGATAATTCGTGTCATTGATTTAATTATTTTCATTATTTAGTTTTAAATTTAAATGCCCACTAATGATTATAATCAAATCATTGTTGCACCTAACACAAAAATCTATAATCAGCTATAGAATTTGTAATTGAATATTTTTAATTTAAAAAAAAAAATTATTTAAACAAATTGCGCAATAATTTTGCAAAATGGAAATTCCATACATAATAATAAAACAAATATTTAATGATTCGTAAAATTAGAAAGATAGATTTTGATTTTAAAGTTTTACTATTAATTATGAGAGAATCTTATTTATTGTTATTTCTATCTATTTTTTTATTTTATTATCTAATAAGTACTTAGTATAGTTTGAAGTTTATTTAAGTGGTTTTCATTTCAATCACTTAATAAATTTTTAGAGCTTTTTTAAACTCGTTGATGTAAAATGTTAAATAAGAAAATTAACTGTGGATTTATGTAGTTTATTAGACATAAAACGGATATGTTAAACATAATTGGTTTTCCCACACATAAATTATTCTGTAATTAGTATAAAATAACATATATGTATATAGTCATTTCAAATTTTTAATATTATTTTTTTACCAAAAAGTTTATGTAAAATTGTACTTAATTTCTAATAATTATTAGAACTAGATCTGAACTGAAGTACGAGTGAAGTAGAGCGGAACTAGAACTGTTCATGAACTGAAATAGAACTGAACTAGAACTGAACTAGAACTGAACCAGAACTGAACTAGAACTGAACTAGAACTGAACTAGAACTGAACTAGAACTGAACTAGAACTGAACTAGAACTGAACTAGAACTGAACTAGAACTGAACTAGAACTGAACTACAACTAGAACTGAACTAGAACTGAACTACAACTAGAACTGAACTACAACTAGAACTGAGCTAACTAGAACTAGAACTGAACTAGAACTGAACTAGAACTGAACTAGAACTGAACTAGAACTGAACTAGAACTGAACTAGAACTGAACTAGAACTGAACTAGAACTGAACTAGAACTGAACTAGAACTGAACTAGAACTGAACTAGAACTGAACTAGAACTGAACTAGAACTGAACTAGAACTGAACTAGAACTGAACTAGAACCGAACTAGAACTGAACTAGAACTGAACTAGAACTGAACTAGAACTGAACTAGAACTGAACTAGAACTGAACTAGAACTGAACTAGAACTGAACTAGAACTGAACTAGAACTGAACTAGAACTGAACTAGAACTGAACTAGAACTGAACTAGAACTAGAACTGAACTAGAACTGAACTAGAACTGAACTAAAACTGAACTAGAACAGAACTAGAACTGAACTAGAACTGAACTAGAACTGAACTAGAACTGAACTAGAACTAGAACTGAACTAGAACTGAACTAGAACTGAACTAGAACTGAACTAGAACTGAACTAGAACTGAACTAGAACTGAACTAGAACTGAACTAGAACTGAACTAGAACTGAACTAGAACTGAACTAGAACTGAACTAGAACTGAACTAGAACAGAACTGAACTAGAACTGAACTAGAACTGAACTAGAACAGAACTAGAACTGAACTAGAACTGAACTAGAACTGAACTAGAACTGAAGTAGAACTGAACTAGAACTGAACTAGAACTGAACTAGAACTGAACTAGAACTGAACTAGAACTGAACTAGAACTAAACTAGAAATGAACTAGAACTGAACTAGAACTTAACATGAGTTGAAGTAGAACTAAAATAGGAATAAAAGTATAGGAAAAAAGTAAATTAATAGCACATAGTAAGAAAAGCAAAATCAGCATGTTTAAACTCTCAATGTTAGTAAACAATACTAATTTAAATTCCTTAAGAGCGGTAATCACTGACTGGGCCCAAATCTTGTTATTTTCAAGTTAATTGTCCTCAT